AGTCCCTATATCTTATTGATGATTTCCGCATTTTAATGTGGTCTTTCTGCTAAAAGACCTTATGCAGCAGCTGCCTTCCCTGGACTTCAAGCGGGATGGGCCAGGAGGACAGTTTTCAACGCTAAGGTGTGCTGCTTTTACACAAAACAGAGTCACAATGGCCATAAAGTTTCACAGTTACCTGGCAGATTCTGTGGAACTTTTCCATAAATTTGTACATGATCACACTTTTGTGCAGGGGAGACCACTAGGGCAGAGCTCACTGGGCCATAGCAGGGATCCCTGTTTCTGCAGCCAGTTGTGCCAAAACTGCCAGCAGCTGTACCAAAACTTCTGCTCCTCTTTTCTGCCTTCTCTGCTCCCCTCAGCTCCCCACCGTAGTAGAAAATGGACCGCAATTTTGGCCATGTTTTCTCATTTTTGGTTTGGAGTTTTTAAAAATTTCTTTAAAAATGAAGGCGTTCACCAGTGGACACAGCTTCACAGATAATGCAGTTCAAATAGCGTTACTCACCTCCAGCCACTGGAGGTAGCTGTCCTCCTGCTTTCTGGTGGGGGACAGCAACGTCCTCGACTTAATAACAGCCTTTGGGCAGCTCTCTCTGGCCCACACAACTACCACAAGGTCTTGAAATTACTGTGATAGATTAGGCAAAGATGCTTATGCTATAACTGTTTGGTTTTTGGATGTGTAAATTGCTTAATTTTATTTTAGTCTTCCTCATCTGAGTAAGGTATAATGGCACTCATTCTGGGGGAGGCTGGAGGATGAGCTCCCTCAGCTGCATAGCATCCTCCATCCCTGCCACAACCGGAGGATCAATGGGATTGTGCAGGGGGTGCACGGTCTGTGTTCTTGGTGCAAATGGAAGGCACCAAGTCAGAACAGGTAGTAAGTGCTGCCTGCCCTCGCTGTGGGCAGCAAGGGCCATGGGGATGAAAGGTCAGGGCAGGGGAAGAGAAGCAGTGGGCACACAAGGGCTAGTCATCCAAATGTAGGGGCTGCTACTTTGCCCACAAGAGCTTCCTGCACCCTGACAGCACCAGGGAGCCCAGGAAGGCCTGGGGAATGTCAGCAGAGGAACAGCTTTGATTGCCTCCCAGATCCTTTGCAGGCTCGCTGGTGGGACAGGTCAGGGAGACAAAGTTGCCAAAGACCTTCAGGACACTGTTCTGTAAACTCTTGTGCCCCTGCGAGGCCACCACCTCAGGGAGGAAAGTCTGTCCGGGGAGTCAGGCCCCCTTGCCCCCTGCCCCAGGTGAAGACTTTGCCCTGCTGTGGGTGGACAGGCCACCTCTCCCTGGGTGACACTGGGAGGTCAATGCCTGCCTCACTCCCAGGGTCCAGCTGACTTAAGCAGCCCCAGCAGGAGTGATTTTGGCTTGTCAGTGCTGACACCAAGCACGGCCTGTTGGCAACCTTTCCTCTGCCCTTTCACATGTCCCCCTTGCATACCACATGCTCCCAAAAACAACAGCTCCTGAGTGGGACTCCACTTTTCTCTTCACAGCTTACTTGGCAAGGGGAAAGCAGGGTAAGGTGAAGCTGCATGATGAGCACAGCGGCACCTCTTACGGCTTCTTTTCCTCTGTGTTTCCTCTTTGCCAGAGGAAACCCAGTGAAGGCTGCCAGGTTTCCCAGACTTTTCTGAGACCATGTCCTGCAGCAGCCTTTGAAGAGATGAGGCATGGAGACGTATGAAAGAAGGCTTTGGCTTAACCAACCAACCCAACCCAGAACTGATGCCTGACTACGTGTGAGTTTATCTATCAGCTGGGGAACTGATGGATAACCTGATGTTATTCCTTAATAATGCAGTTGTTGCTAATGATTAATTCTTACACAATATTCATCATTCTCTCTTTATTTCCCACCCTGTGGGTCTGTAGCTCTGTGCTGAACTAGCTGTGAGTATCATAGAACCAATGCCATCTCTTTAAGCATGGCTGGGTACGATCCTGAGTGACTTTTTAGTCACAGAGGGGAAGGTGATGAGGTTCAAAAGCTCTTTGAGGAGATAGGTCAGTAATTCAATGAGCTTGTCTTATCTTTTCTGATTTTCCTCCGTCGTGCCTGATGTTTTTATGTCATTGCCTCTCTCCCAAAATGGGGTGGAGGGCTCCTCTATTCCTCACACTATTTATCTTAGTTTCGGTTTTGCTACTGTGTATTCAGGATGTTTCTTATTTGCAGCTCTTTCTGCTTATCTTCTGACAACATTTAACTACTTGAAAACCTTTCTTCTGCACCCGCACCCATCTTTGCCCCTTTGCTGATTATATGGTTCACACACTTAGCCACAAAATGTGTCTGGCTATGCCATCAGATTGTGTGATGAAGTTTTTAGCACTGTTTATGTTACAGTAGTTGAGTATGCTTATACATGCACTTAAGAAAAGGTAGAATTCATTATATCCTGATTAACACATTTATAATTAATCAGTAACTCAAACCTTGGCTTTACTTACACAACTCCCTGTGTGGAGAGATGCCATGGAAGGTGTAAGACACGAGGATGCTGGCAGGATGCAACTGAACCCCAAAGTGCCCAGATCTTGACCCATCTAAAGATGCCCTAGAAAGTTTCATACATGATGGTGGGCCAGCTGCAACCAAACACCCTGCATAGAACATATCAGCTGCTCGAACTGCTTGGCATCGTTTGCAAGCTGCAAAACGAGATGATAGAAGTCTGGGGCCCATGTGCTTGAGTTACTACAGGGGACTAGTGGTACAGACTCACAGTGAGTCAACCATACATTTCTTTTCTGCAGCTGAGTCCCATGCAGGAATGTGGAATCCCAGATGTGTTGCTGACAGGGCATCTTCAGTCCAGCCTTCTTCTCAAAGCAAGGCCATGCCCAGAAATAATAGATCTGGACACCATGCCTTTGCCAGTGCCAAAGCACTTTTTCCTTGGCTGTGATTGAAACAGCCTGGCTACAGGAAGAAAAGGAGTAAGAAAGAAGAAAAAAGCAAAAAGGAAGGTGAAAGAGGGGTACAGTGCAGGGTATTAGCGGCGGTGGTGGTAGTAGTAGTACTAATAGTAGTAGTAAGGTTAAAATGGAGCTTTGGTGTTTGGAAGTGGTTCTGCCTAGATTTCTCATTACAAGCAAGTATGCCAAAGAAAGCAAGGGGGCTTTTAGCTCAAGAGAGCAGCTTTTAAGCAGGGAGAGGCTGGGTTTGTTTGGAGTTGTTCTGGTGTTGGTTCTTTTTTTAGGGGTGGGGAGGGCAGGGGAAGGAGGACAGACGTTAGAGTGGGTCTCTTTTTGAAGAGAAAAGACAGAATGGGCAGGATAAAGCAGAGCCAAGTTTCTACCATTTCTTCCTCCAGCCATGCTGTGTTATTCCCTCTTTCTCCAGGGGGATGCACTTCATTAAATCACTCTCTTCTATTAAAGGAATGCGATGTAGCAAACTAAGTAATGCCAGTAACTATCCATCATATCTTAATAAAGCCTGGAGTTCCTGAAGTTGGAACACAGAGGATGTACGTGAGGGAAACGTATCCAGGCAGAGAGTACTATAATAGATATTTCAGCTAGTTAACACTTTTCCTACCACCCTCTGGGTTTCTTTTCCTCAAAACCTCCCAAGAAATCTAGTTTTGTTCCCATTTTGTAGCACATGTGGCTCTGGGACATATTTTCTTTCACCCTATACCACCATCTGGCAAGGACCGGCTTGGTGTTCAGACTGCATCATACCTGACCCCTAGGCTCATGTGAACTTGATCTTCCTCTGCCAGCCCCATGCAGTCCACAGGGGACACTGGCTGTTCTGAGGGCTGCAGGAAGCCTGTAGGGGTATCTTAATGCGCAGAGTTGCTCCAGAAACAGGCAGTGACAGTGTACTGCAGAAAGTCTTTGGACTGAGCTGCTCCAGAGGCTTCAAGGCTGGCTGCTGTGCAAGAGGGAGAACCTTTCTTCCAACAGAAGTGTGGTCTTAGCACCAGTTGACGGCAGGATGGCAGGAATGTATATCCCTGCCTTCATCAGAGCGCTTCTCTAGAATTCACAACTGTGACGGGAGCAGTTGATTGACTTTTACGTCCCTCTCTTTTGGCTTTACAAAAGCAGAAGACCGCTGGTGAGACCAGACCCCAGCCAGGACCACTCCAACTTTATAGAAGGCTTTCTGCAGTACCAGTTTTCCAGTGATGCCTACAGACCTACCATAGAGGTCTCTGCTGGGGTTACTGGGGTCACAGAAGGCTTGTTAAGGCAGCCAGACCATTTCTTCAGCAGGGACAGGCCATGGGTCCAGCCCTCAGCATACCATGCCCATAGTTTAATATCAAAATCCCCCTATCCTTCTAGGATTTCAGCTTCACACTTGCTATAGGCTTTCCAGGGAGGAGCACATCTAACTGTGAGCTGTGACAGACAGAAGAGTTATGCAGCCTTGCGCAGAGTATATAGCAGTAAGCTGACTTCAGCTATGGTGGTAATTAAGACTGGCACAGAAATCCGAGCCTCTTTTGTTCTAAAGAAAAATGTGAAATTGGCCAAGCCAGCAGAAACAGCTGATGGTGCAAGGCAGGTATTTGTGTGGGCTACCTGGCCTCACTGTTAGCAATGCCATAATGCCTCTATGGCATGCTGCCAGGGTATGACAAGCTGTATGGTCCAGCAGTCATTAGGAATTCTGAATTAGTCTCACACACCTATATGTCTGATGCCTTAGTATAGAAAAAAATTTCCCCTTTCAAATCTTTTTTATATGCTTGGATGAAGATAAGAGCTGTCTGGTGCAAGGCAGACTCTGGTCAGGACAATGGCAGATTTTGGAGATATTTCCTAGCAGTATTTCTTCACTTTTTAACCTAAAGCTGTTTAATCTACAGCTAATTTCACACTGTCATTCTAAGGATCTGAGATACCACTTCACATCATCATTTTGAGCACAACCTAATGCACATCTGGCAAATAGAGACCTGATGCACCCTTGCATCTATAAAATACTTTTTGAAGTTGAATATAGTGAGAAACAATTAATCTTTTCTTAAACCACCCTTTATTAAAAAAACACAAGCATTTGTAAATATATAAAATTATAAAGTACCAAGTGCTTCTTGCTTCCCAGTACAGTAGGACTCATGAGTGGCAGGTAAATTTGGTGTTAATCTGTTCCGTGTCAAGGGCTGCAGAACTGACCAGATGGTTTTGCTGATCTCCTTCCTCTGACAGGTCCAAATTGAGCTTGTTTCACTGCAGTTTTAGACTTCCTTCCTGCTCCTTTTGACAAACATCAGTGCTTACTGGTGAGAGCAGGGCTGGAGCTGTGGGAACTAGCAGGCTTACTAGAAGGTTGCAGCTAGGTGTTTTACAAGGGGCTAGTGGGGAAGAGAATTCAGGCACCAAGAATACTCTTCTGTATACTGTTCCTCAGGGAAAGTGCATCCTTTGCTTTAGGATCATCCTCTAGCTGGACTGGACAAAGCCAGTCACAGATCCACTTTCCATCAGGTTCCCTTAATCAGCAAGTACTCAGATACCCTTGCAAATTGCATCATATGAAGCATCACTGAGTCCCACCTGTCTCATTTTTTTTTACCGCTGAAATGTTATAGGGTTAAAAGTTCTCAGGTTGTACATCTAGATCTGAACACCAAAGCAGGACACTGGACTGCTGCGGAAGTACTGTAAAATGAAAAACTCAGTTGTACACATTGCAATTGTTAAGGTAACTGAGCTCCAAATAGGATCTTCTGCCTATCTCTTCTAACACAGAAGAACAGCTGCCAGTTGCAGAGGGAATTGGAAGGTGCTTGTTGATGTTGTTTCTTACTTGGCCTTCCCCAAAAAAGCCCCTGTCATCTGCAGAAACATAGGACAGCTCCCTGCACTCTCTAAGTGGTCACCTTTGCCAGTTCTCCCACCAGCTTCCACCACACCAGGCACTGCTGTGTCATTCCCTAAAAAGTGAGCTGCCCCCTCAGTGTTCCTCTATAGGAGAGCATGACTTGGCCTGGGGAGGATACACTACCCAATCTTAAACCAGCAGCTTCATCTTCTTGTGGAAAACTTAAATCACTGCTGTTGCAGGAGAGGTAGAGCAACAACATAAGACCAAGTAAAACAAGCTTATCCTGAATGTCCCAGCATCTGTCATGGGACCAGAAGAGTGAGGAATCCTGCTGTATTCTGCTGCTTACAGAGATTTTCTTTCACAGGCGGCACTGCAGGCAGGGCTTTTCTTTTCCTATTTGTAGGAGACGACAAAGTGACTCATTGTAACAGACTTGTATTACAGATCACATACCTACACTACCCTGCTGCAATGGAAGGATGCTCTACCTCCTACTGCCCTCTAGCTAAGAGGCACAATTAGCTCCAACATTAGAGTGGAAGAGTTGTTATGCTATTCTAGAACCACAGTCCTTAAAACAGTTTTCCACTAGGTTTGTCATAGGCATGATTTCCACACCCTGAAAGCTTCACCCCTGATCCAAGTATATAAAAATAAAAAAAAAAAATGGCTGAAAGATGATGCTCTGCAACATTTCTTTAGCTTGAATCAAGTCAGCTAAAAATCCCTGTTGTCCCGTCATCCAGTCCCACTTTGACATTTCTGGCAGCGCAGTCTTTCTTACAGCCCGCAGTCACAAATAAATACAAGATTGAGGGAAGCACAGTGAAGGTGCTCCAACGACTCTGCTCTAGCCCTTGCTTGTTGTGCAACAGGATCTGAATATCACAGTGTGCCAGCTGAGCATTTGCAGTCATGCACAGGCCTGAGTCCTTTGCATACTGGGCCCTTGGCATTCCCCAGAAGACCTGGTTATGCTTCAGGAACATCTGCTGTTGCTGTATCTTCTGCCTTGACAAAATCACTGTTGTTTGTCTCAGCATGGAGCCGCTTGTAGTCAGTATGGAAGAAGATGACATAAAAACAAGACATAGCACTGCAGAGGCCAGCCAGCACCAGTACTGGAGCTGCAAGGAAGATAGATTTTTAGATGGTGAATTCACAACTCCCCACCGGTGCAGAAGTCTAGAGGTCAACTCCCCAGAAACTGTGTGATCTCCTCCCAAAGGCTACCCCTGAGCACAGTGTGCAACTCACAGAGGGCAATGCCAGTGTGCTAACAGCCAAATGTTGTCTCACATAACACTGGCATAGGAAGATTATTTGGGCAAAATGTGGAAGGTTTCCAGGACTCCTATTCTGCATGAGCCCACAGGTTACAGGTCTTACACCAGTGCACACAGTATTTGTGGCTGTGTGTGTTTCTGTGTATGTGTACAGGTTTGTGTGTTGTGGAGTACTGAAGAAAGTTACAAGAAAGACTGAATCAAGACACGTGAGCTTCATAAGATAACAGGTCCATATGGGTAGTGATTCTTGTTATATCATCCCAGAGCAAAGTGCAGGAAAGGTTTACTAAGGATAAACTTTAATCAAATAAAAATTTGTGTTGAAAAAACTTTTTCTGAAGAAAAAAAAAAAGTATATCTAAAAGGTTATGCGCAAAAAGGCTTGGAAGTAGTTATATTCTTATTCCAGCAGTGTCTCAAATAAACACCTCCATGCCTTTCTCCACAGATATCCCTGCATGTATCAGACCACAAAATTATTAGGAATGGGTACCTAATTATTAGATCCAGCTCTGATCTGATAAGATGGAGAGTTACAGGCTTTCAGACATGAAGCAGTCAAATTACTTTTTGGGGAGTTACTGTGAAGCTTTGTTCCCTGCCAGCTAATGGCGTTTGTTCTGAGGAGTTTCTGCTCAGCCAAGCAGGATATATTTAAAACTTGTTTACCAGCCTTTGTGTTACGGTAACTCTACAGGACTTGGTGTCAGTATTACATAAATTTGAACCAGCTGAGAGATCAAGACTGGGGTCTAGCCTGCACTGAAAACACAATTGTGCTCCTGTTCATCTCAGTTGCTGACTCTTCTACTGACCAGCTAGGAGAGGAAGGGAAGTGTGGAATAAGGCAGAACAAAGCTGCACTGGCATGTTACAAACCCAGGCAGCTGTGTGTGCAGAAGCAAGAGAAGTAGCTTTCAGTCAATGTGCTTCTAGTCTGCAAAGCAGCACAGGCTGCGCTGCATGGACAGCGTCTTCCCCTCTGAACAGCTGCTTTCTAGCTTGGTGAAGCTCACGTTTCTGCCGGGTGGCCATAAGAGAAATACGAACCCAGGGCCAGCAGCAGCATTCATGGCACCTTAGAGGTCTTAATATTTTAATCTTGCAGGCTTGGTTTATCAGGAGCAGCAAGGACTGCACCATCAGGTTGGGAAAAGTATCTAAAAGATATGCTACAACAGCCTGCTGCATCAATCTTGCAGGCTCCCTCACAGTAAGACCTGGAGGAGAGTAGGGGGTATGTGAGGTGCAACTGAGTATCCAGCGTAATTTCCCAAGGACATACTTACTTGTCCAGTCCAGGGTTCCACCCTGATCAAGGGCGCAGGTGGAAGCTGGATCCTCAGAAATGCGCGTGGTAAGGGCTTGTAGCAGAATCATTAAAATCACACCTTCAATCTGGCTGTGGGGAGAAGCCAACATCCAGTCATGGCACCTGCCTGATTCATCAGTGCTGCAGGCAAGCCCAGCTTCCCCAGTGGGAAGAAAGCAAGGACCCTTTCTGGAGAGGGGTCCTTCTAGCAGAGAAAGCTACTGCCAGCTTCCTCTGGCAGGGCACTTGGTTAACTGGCACTGACCCACAGGGTGTGCAGGTCAGCCTTTTTTCAGCACATCCCCAGATACTGGGCCAGCATGGCAGGACCACTATATACTCTCTGTGGAGGTGAGCAGGTTTGAACAACTGCTGTCAAGGAGCTGAGGCTTAGTCACTGGGCAGAGACTTGGAAATGCCTCTTACTGCAGGGTTGAGGAAGGGAAAAAGTCAAGCTATGACTTCAACCTCCTCCTCATTCATAGCTGGCTAACAGCAGCAACAAAGTCCACAACCAGTGGGAGACAACAGCCTTCAAACATGGTGTCTAATATCTCTCTTTGTCTGATGTTTCTTGCTGCTCCAGCTCCACCTGACACATACACATGGCACCTGACCACATATATCACTGCTTAGGGCTCCAACAGGTCATTCCTGCTGCAGTCCAGTGCCAGCCCTTGGCATGTAAATTGATCACAGGAAGGACTGTTACTTCCCCATCCATTGTGACCTGCTGCCCTGTGAGTGTTGGGCCCCATCTCCCTCAGCAGAACACTGAGACCTGACCCTGTACTGCTGTGGGAATGGCTGTCCCTCTCAAGCGCACAGCCCCCAGTTGCTTCAAGGGTAGGGGATGCTGAGCATGGTTAAATTGTGCTTTCTGCCAAGCAAGGGAGACCTCCATCTTCCTTCTTGCTTTTCTTGCACCAATTCCACATACTCCTCCTTGCTTTAAAATCTTTAGCTCTTCAGCTCTATGGCTCAGCCATCCAGCTTCCCCCTTGTTATGGTCATCTGCAGGGACACCAGAGAGAAGTTCAGCAGGATGGCTAGCCCTGATGTCCAGGCTCTTCTCTGCACCTCTGTGTATGTGCATGTTTGAGACCAAGTTCAGCTGTGAATTGGATTTAACCTGCCTGCTTACCTTGCAACAAAAATCAGACCTGTAGATGTGCCCTCTCCCACAGGGTAGGAGCACTCCACAGCCAGTTCCATGGCAGTGGGGTAGATGGCAAAACCGAAGAAACCAAAGAGTGAGCTGGTGATGGCCAGCATGACATCCTGATGTCTGAACCGAGAAGTCTGCAGGCAGAAAAACAAAGTCTCAGTGTCAGCACTGCTGTGCAGAGAATCTCTGAACCTGTAACTTGCAGGAAGTCCCAAGGGCTCACTGTTCTTATCAACACCATCCGTCTTTTATCTCCAACCTTCTAGAGTCAACAAATGGCTACACAATGGATATTTATCTGTTTAATTTAAGCAAGGAGAGAGAGGATCAGCAGAATCACCTGAAAAGTATTGGTGTGGTTGTATTACTGGGACTTGACTTCCTGGTCAGTCACTTACCAGGAGTGTGCTCAGTGTATCTTCAGCACAAAGTGAAACACACACCTTCCTCCTAATGCAAGCTAACATTTCAGAAGTGTTAGGTTGGTTGGGTTACATATGAGAATTCCCTGGGTTGCTGCAGCTCATTGATAAGGAAAAGTATTCCTCATTTTGTTGGACTCATGCTTATAACATTGGGGTTTTAACGCAAAAAAAACCCACTCACAAAACAAACAAAAACCCACCTGAAACAGTCACAAACCCTGGAGATTAGTTTAGTGCCTAGAACAGCCTTGTTCTTAACTCTGGAGAAAAGACCACGCGCTTACCCAGCCAACACTAAAAAAGTCAAGTGCACAAATCCTGCAGCCACAGTGCTGTCTCCTTCCTTGACCATGTAATAAATTCCACAGAGGAACACAAGGTGTCTGTCCTGGCACGGCTGCAGCAAGCCCGGCCCAGCTAAACTGGTAAAGTTAAGGAAAACTCTGTCTGGAATCTGAGTTGAAAGCATCAAGCAGATTTGAATGGGTGTTTTTCGTTTTACTACTTTGAACTAGCAGTTCATCTATATGGGATAAAGGGGACAAAGGGAAGGGGAGGAGGAAAAGGTTTGCTTGTTGCTTCTGCCTACTCTGTGCTTTATGTGGGCCCAGGCATGCTGACTTGTATTTAGACCATCCTCCCAGCAAAGTGCAGAGTACTAAAGAGGGGAATGCAAAGTTTGCTTCAGGCAGCTTGTTATACACCTTTAGGCACCTTGCTTTCGGCACTGCATTTGTCTTTCTCTCCAAAGTGGAGCTAACAGCAGTGGGATCTTGGCCCAGGGGGAGGTGAGGTCATGCTGCATTGAAAGTCTGGATTTTTCAATACACAGGAAAATTGCACAACACAAGCCTGTTGGGAAAGCAGAGACCTGCACCAGTCTAGGTCCTCTGCAGTGCTAGGAGTCCTGTGCCTCACACCCAGGTTCCTGCTGAGTGATGGCTCCCATTGGCAGTGACTATGCTTGAGTGCAGTACTTGCACTCCAGCCTCATGGGTGTAAAGTCTCCACATTCTACATTCCTCTCCTGGCTGGATTCAAGCATTCGCCTTTGCTCCATCCCCCTTGTCTTGTCCTCCCTGGGGAACTGCTGCTGAACTAGGCACACAACTTGGTCCTTTCTGCTAATCTTACACTCTGGGCAGCCACCAGGAGTTGCTGGGCAGGTGTTGGGAAAGCTAGGGATCCTTGTTCATTTTTGTAAGGTGGATATTTAGCAATTCCATTTCTTTTTGGAGAGAATGGCCCCAGGGCCGGTAAACACGGTGATCTAAAGTAAAGAAATAAAATTATGCCAATTTATTTCTACCCTGAATCAGTCTGTCTCAGGCTCCACAGTGACTGTGAAATCCTCAGTAAAGGGTTTTTCTTTAAAACATTCCTAGCCCAGAGAGATAATCCCAAAGCATAACACGTGGCTTAAAAATAAATGCTATACTACTTAAAAATAAATACTATGACATCAAATGACCTTGGTTTGAGTTGATAATTTATCGGGTGGCAACACAACAAAGCCCACAGGTATTATGCAATGCAAGGGAGAACTCACCACTGCGAACATGATGCTGGCAAGGGCACTCAGGCAGAAACAAATCTTGGTGGACTCTATGAAATTCCTTGTCCGGTCAACATACAGGCCTAGCAGGAAAGCACCCAACAAACCACACACCGTGAACAGTGCACCATTCAGGCCAGCAAATTTCTGGGAAGCAGAAGAAGAAGTAACTGAGCAACTAGAGCAGTTAGAAAATAGGTTTTAATGTCACCAATCCATGTGCCTGCTGCTAATGGGTCACTTCCCTGCCTGTTGCAATAGCTGAGACCTTCACAGGGCTCTGAGTAGCAAATAATGGGACCCAGTTGCTGTTAGAAGTGTGTGGAGACAGCAGGGTCACAGCACTCCCAAGGTCTCAGTGGGTCTCACTCACAATTGTCCGCACACCTGGCAAGGGAGGGTGGGTGCAGAGCAGCAGCAGTTCCCTGGTGTTAAATGCTCCACCCTGGGCACGAGACTATTCTTGGCTCCTCTAGGGGCAATCGGGTGTCTTGTCCACACCAGTGGTAACGGGTCCAACCACCTTGCGATCTGCTTGTTTATAATCGTGGTGCTAGAGCTTTTCTTACCAGGGACTGCACTGGCAGAATGCCTTCCACAAGGCTGGCAGCCCCAAGGTGTGTTAGATGAGACACAGCATCACCTGGCTGTAGCAAGGAGTTCTAATTAGAGAGGCAGTGAGCAGTAGTTAGACTAGGGTACATGCTCGGCTGCCTGCAGTGGCTAACTTTGCTTGTCCCACTCCTTCAACTCCACAAGAATTCAAATGCAGACATCAATACTGAAAGCAGGGAAGTTTTAACAAACTTGGGTAAACACTTTTGGGAACCTAAGGGGCAGACTGGAAGGGAAGGATATCTGGAATAGCTTCTGTGGGCTAAAAGGGACAGGACAAGCCAGTAACACACAGAAAAAAGCACCACGATGCACATAAAACAAGTCTTTGATGTTTAAAAGGTTTCCAGTTAAAAGCCAATGGAGTGTGCAAATGTGACCTGGCTATGGAGCACTGAGTCAGGTACCAGTCATGGGAGTTGAGAGGGAGTGGACAGAGACCAGACATGTAGGCGTGCATACATGACAGCAGGAGAGGTGTTTTAAGAGGACCTCCACAGGGAGGACTGAAATGCTGCCTGCCTGAGGGTAAATGCAGGAACTGGGGCAGCCCCTTGCTATCACAGGGAGAGAGCAGCAGGAGCCAGCTGTGCACACACGGTGCTCAGCTGTAAAAGCAGCACCTGGCCAGTGACTTCCTCCGCTGCCCTGGCTTCACGTAAAACTGTATAAAGAGGAAAAAGGTGCTTGCATCACCCTGCCTTCAGCTTCACTCCAGGGCCTGCCTAAGCCCCATCCTACTCTGGGGAAGGTGTCAGAAGGCTGAATAGGCATCTGTGCTCTGGAGTGGCTTAGAAAAAACACAATACTCTTTTTTCCTAAGAAGTGTTTGAGTGCTAAAGGTTTTTCATTTGCAAATGGGAGCCTGTCCGTGGGCAGTAATGAAAATGCAGATCATCCCTTATACTGAGAGACTGACTGTGCTCTGGATTAATGTATTACTTAATCTATATTAGATAATGTGAGCAAGTAAGATGAGACAGTGCAGCTTATTCAACTGTCTTCATTTTGCTCTGAGTCCCTTATCAGGGAAAATAATTCTGATTGTATTAGGGATGATGTGGACAATGGGGAGGAAAGGAAGAAGACTCACATTTGAATACCCCTTTTCACAAAGGATCTGTTCTAGCAGAGCTGAAAAGCAGGTGAACATCCCAATTCCTCCTCCAAAGCACACTGCCAGGATGATGTACGGCTTATTTCTCAGGAGCTAGAGAAAGAAATTAATTATCATTTAAACAAGTGGTGTGCAGGAAAGAGGCCTGACTGTGACAGTAGACTTGAGGGTCAGTGGCGCTGACCCCTCAGTTGGAAATGTTGACAGTGCAACCAACCCCATGATCATTAGAGGAGTTTGGCTCTTTCCTGTTGGTTCATCCAGAAGACAAATTAAAATGGGGACCATGTGGGGAGGAAGGATCTCTTCAGTGCCCAAATTCCTTCACTTTTCCTTGTGCTCTCCTACCTGTTACCCCATCTACTCAGAAGGCTCAGGTTATGTGGTTCTCTTGGATTAGCCCAGATATGCCTGTTTGAGCTAGCTGAATGGCAGTCATCCCACAGCTGAACTGCCAGATACCAGCTGTTGCAGCTTTGCTATAAGCAAATTCCACTCCCTGAAGAAGGAAGGGGTCCTGGTCTCCTTCAGGGGGCTTTCCATGTCGGGTTTGGTGGAGTCAAGTTCAGAGTCTGCTTTGTCAGCAGATTCCCCAGCACATCCCCATGCCTGGCAAGGCTGCATCCCTCACTCAGCACTGGTCTCTCTATGCTATAGCACTTACCATTTTGAGCCCTGTGAGGAACGGCTTGGAGGTGGAGTTAGTGGCACTGGCCGAAGGAGGTGTTGGAGGTACCTTCTCATGAATCCCCACAGTTGCCAGAGCACAGGCTATTACTGCTGGGACAGCATAAACACCCAGCTACACAACACAAAGTAAAGACACATTACCAGTCTTTTCAGCTTCACTGCCTTCAAATAAATAAATTAGCTGGACCTCAGTCAGCCCAGCTGGCTGATTAAAGCAGTTTTCATTTACCATCAGTGGGATGTGCTTTCCTTCGGGAACTAGTGCAGGTGACAGCACGTTTGCTATAAGAATACCCAAGGGATTGGCTGGAAGGAAATAAAACAGAGACACTTTACTCATGCAAGCAGTCAGAATCATTTGTCCAGAGATGCTGTGTGCAGCCAAGCAATGAGTAAAGACAGAACAAGGCATATATAGGGAGAAACCAGGAGGGGAATCTTTGGAGAAGTTGACTGTGTGCTCTTACTCTTGCCACATCTGTTTTTTCACCCCATTAATTATATTCTATAAACCCGTTTCCCTACAACTCTTAACTCCTGTAAACTGGTTTTCGTCAATGAATCACAGTGTCCTCATACTCACAAGGCTGCCTCAGTAAATACTATGCTGAAGCGACAAAATGAATCCATGTCATCTGTCTTGATGTTACATAGCAGCAGTAACAAATAGAGGCGCTTTCCCTTCTTTACTCTCCCTATGCCATTAGGCATGTATACACATGGATAAAGTCCCACTGAGCCTTCTTGAGGGTGAATAGTCCCAGCTCTCTCAGCATCAGCTGGCATGACAGATGCTTGATTCCCTTAATTTTCTTAGTGGCTCTTCACTGGACTTGCACTAATATGTCCATGTCCTTTTTGTACTGAAGAGCCTAGAACTGGACACAGCTCTTTCAGATGTGGATAGGGGACTTCCCTCAAGCTACTAGCAGTACTCTTCCCAGTGGTCACCAGGATGCCATTGGACTTCTTTGCCAAAAGGGAATGAAAAGCAGGAAAGCCCTATGACAGCTCTCTAAAGTGGCACTAGGTCACTCCTGGCACCTTTCAAGCCAATACATTTCCTCAGTAAAGCCAGGCTGGCATACAAGTTGATCTCTGCTACAATCACATGGCAGAAGAGAATCTTGGACACTTGTCTGTACTGGAGTGGAGGGTTGCATTGTTATGGGTCTCATTGTTATGGTTAGGGAAAATGTGGGTCTGCTGCTGGATGGGGCAGGAGGCTTGATAGCAGAGGATATGGAAAAGGCGAAGGTATTCAATGCCTTTGTCACCTCCCTCTACTGGTAAGACCAGACTTCAGCCCTGAGACCAGGGATAAAGTCTGAAGCAAGGAATATTTACCTTCAGAGAAGGACGATTAGGTTAGGGAACATGAAATAGGTCAGAAACACACCAATGAGTGCTGAGGAAGCAGGCTGTTTTCATTGCAAGGCCATTCTTGGCTATTTTTAAAAGACCATGGCAATTCCAAGAGGCTTCTGAGGACTGAATGTCAGAGAATGTCACTCCATCTTCAAGAAGGGCAAGAGAATTCAGGAAACTCCAGGCCTTTCAGTCTCACTTTGAACCCTGGGAAGGGTTCAAAGGAAGGGATGTTCAAAGGGATGGAACAACTAATCTTGGACACCGTTTCCAGGCACATGAAGGACAACAAGGTTAGCAGGAGCAGTCAACAAAGGAACAACGCTTAACCAACTTAATTGCTTTGTACAGTGAGATGGCTGGATGGATGGATGAGGGGAGAGAAGTGGATGTTTTTTATCTCAACTTTACTAAGGCTGTTGACACCATCCCCCATAACATCCTCATAGACAAGCTGACAAAGTACTGGCTAGAAAAGTGTACAGTGAGATGAATTTAAAGTCAACCTAACAGCTGACACAGAAGATTATCATCACTGTCATGAAGTCCAGCTGGAGGCCAGTCACTAGAGGTGCCCCTCAGGGGTTGATACTGGGGCAAATACAGTTTATCCTTAACAGAAACCCTGGAAGATAGGGCAGAGTGCATCCACTGACAGTTTGTAGATGATGTGACACAGGGAGGAGCGGCTGGTAGAAGAGATGGCTATGCTGCCATTCAGAGGAACCTGAACTTGGAAAAGTACTAGTTTAAGATCCTGGTGAAATGTTATCTGTACATGGACACAATTAAACAACAGCTTCCAAGGAGATGGATTAACGTTTCTCTGTTGGGGTATATAATGCATCTGCGCATTGTAAGGGACTGCCTGAAAGCTACTGTCAGTTGTTTCCATGAACTATTGGCATGCTGAAGCAGTTTCAGAAGGTATGGATGAGGGGTGGGAATGTGAGCATTGGGCTAAATGTGAAAAGACTAAGTGAGACTATCTGAGTAATTACAGGGTTTCAGCTGCCTTCTCTTCCTGGGAAGCGGAACTATATAAGCCTAGACTAAGAATGGAGGGATCACTGGAGTTAATCAACTGCACATTAAGGTACAGGGGTCTTGATGGATTAGCTTGCAGTACTCTGTGATACTGCCGTGTTTTTTGTGGACAGGGATGCTGATGCACTAAAACTCTGCAGGGTGCAGAAAATGACATGCTGACAGACCACAGTAAATGAAGAATTCCATGGATCAAACAGAGGCCACTTCAATTGACTCACACATGTCTTTCTTCTTCTGATACAGGACAATTTCTCATGGTCTTCACAGGGGATCAGTTCTTGGCCCTGCACTGCCTCTCTGTGAGTAAGTCTCTAAAAGTGATGGAGAGGACCGAGATACAACAAATACTCAAGAGCACAGCTGAGTCATAGTGATTTCAGCTGCTCAGCAGTCTGTTTTTTGTTTGCACACAAGCACAGGGAAGCCTATCCAGGGGCACTAACAGGAGCTGTGAGGCTACTGACAAGAGGCTGTAGTGCTAGTTTCTGTGTACAACCTTGATACCAACAGTACTGCAAAGCTGAGTGCTGCTCTGGCAATAACAGCAGGAAATGGGAACTGACAAACTGGAGCAAGCTGAGAGAAAAAGCTCATGTGAGCAACATGCAGATATGGAGACGTGGGAAGAGGCAAAGGGAAATGTGCATGTAAAGTGGCTGGGTTGGAGTCATTCAGTCTTTCTAGACAAAGGAGAGAAGAGGTGACTCTGTCTGTAACTACCTGACAAACAGGTGCAACAAGACTGAATAGCTCGGGGACAAAGAGCATTGAGACAAGAAGTAACATGTAGACATTTGCTAGTACAGTGATTAACCACTGGCGTAAATGACTGGGGCTGTGGCATCTTCTAGGCAATATTTAAACTTTCTTCAAATGAAAACCTGATTTTGCACAGCAGACAGTAATGACTGTAACCAGACAATATTAATGGAAGTCCTCTACACAGCAACATGCGGGTGTTGCAGCAGATAATCACAGGCCATTCAGTCCTCACACTGATATCTCAACGTGCCACAGATTGAACAGCTTCAGGTCTTGGGTTTCCATTGTTCCTTGCTGAAGCGGAACAATGGAACTGAAGAGTTTTATTCTTTCCCATAGTAGACCAAATATGAACATATGTGAAAGGACACTATGTGAAAGAAATGCTCTTTGGCTGTTCTCACTTAAAAAGAGCAATTGTCTGCAGGCAGTGAAGGACTGAGTGCCCAGTGGCCCCTGGTAGTAATTGTATTGCACCACACTGACAACAAAGAGCTTCTTCTCCACCAGGGACAGTGAAGGTCTATCTCAGCCCTGGGAAACAAGGTGAGTCATCAAGTCCACCCTATTCTAGGGAAGGCAGTGGAAAAATAATTTATTTGCTCTGACACCATAAATCCATTTTTGCTAAGCAACAGTGCCCGTGCTCTGAGTTTGCACCAGCATTGGGAAAGCTGTATAGAGGTGCTCCTATACTGCCCTTTTCCCTATGCCTAGCCCTTCCCTACCACTCCAAGGCAGTGGGGTGGGAAAGGTGGCTATTGGTTGTTTTGAGGGAAGGACAGGCAGGGCTCTCCCATAAATACATAGGTACTGTGAGATTTCCCAGCTGGAGCCAGTAAGTCAGCCTGGGGCACCTCTCAAGTCCTTGGAGAAAGGAGAAAGATATTTCTTCTGGCTGATGGGAAAATGCTACATGGAGGGAGGAAACAGGTGTGTTAAGTGCACACACCTGTCTCTAACCTGGCCCAAAGGAGCCAAGAGAGGAGTGAGGTTAGAGCAAATGTATCTGGTGCCTCTTCTCCAGTTTCCCAGCTTCCAGGCACTTTGCAAGGCAGATGTGGTTTCTGTGGGGGTAGTCCTGCTGGATTTAGCATTCCAACATGTTTGTGTGGCCAGCTGAGTATATTATATTTGTGTGTACATACATACCAACTGGGAATACATGCTCAGCCTTCCTACTGGATGAACTGGTAGACAAAACTGCTGCAGCAGCCTCACCTCCATCTGGTTATAGAATTTGGCAACTGTGACCACTGGCATCTCATGCAATTTGGACACCTTTCTGACAAGCAGCAGAATTAAGGCCACAACAGACTTTAAATATAGTAACACTGAGGGCTGTTCCGAACCCTTATGATATTTAGATAAAGATGATCACCTTGTCCTGGCAGAGGAGGAAGGCTGGGAGCCTGTGTGGCTTACTTTGAACTTGCACACGAATGTGGCTAAGGCTCACCTCTTGCTCCCCCGCATGGAAATGCCTTCTGTTTTGCAGGGCCTTGAAGACATTGGTTTATTGCACATAGTTATGACACTCTTGAGCAGAGGTGTATTTCCAGAGCCAAATGGCTGTTGTATAAAGGGTTTTCTCTGCCTGCTGCCTCTGAAAGGCAAACAAATGCTAGCAAGTTCTGGGAGCCAGCAATATTACTTTGCAGCTATCACTTACACATTGATGCGATCATATTTGCTGTTGCTCTCTGGTGGTCTGGGAACCATAGTGCTGCCAGTTTTGTTGGTGAAAAGATGATAAGGGGCTGGGCCAGTGCACAGAGGCATTGTCCAATAAACAGGTACCAGTAACTCTGGGTACCCAAGCTCAGGAACTTCAGGACGCTGAACATCCGGATGATGCTACCCATCATGTTCAGCCATGCACTCAGGATCACCTGCAGCAAGCAGAAACAGCCAGGGGTTGTGTGATGAAGCCTGAACGGCAGAACTTAATGCAACACAGTAGCATAAGCAAGGTCTCAGATGTACTAAGGAGACACCAAGTGTTAGTAATCACTGTGTGGAAAATTGCCTGCAAACTGCCCCACCCCTTTGGGCCACTGCAAGATGCTCCTGATCCAACACTGCTCCTTAAGGAGCAAGGCGGCTGTCCTGGCCCTACATGAGAACTACACCACAATATAGCTTATGCAGGACAGCAGACACTGTCATGGAATTGATTAGAAATCCAAAGTTCACTAATTGCACTCTGTTTACAAGTTTGCACCATCACCCATATTTTGCAGTAACAATGCAAAAATCATGGCATCCAGCATAGGGATCCTGCAAATGCTCTTCTATACCACTAACATGCTAGAGTTTCAGTGCCACATTCCGCAATGGTCTTGCTTCTGGGAAGACTGTGTAGCGATCCCAAGCTGGCTTAGCATAGACCAAGCTCTGAGCTCACAAGGGTCCCTTGCTTGCACCCTGCCCTGCTGCTTCTTAAACTGGGCCAGCAAATAAAATAGCTGTGCTAACACTTTTCCTTAGCAAATCTACCCAATTACAGCAAGCTCTTCACAGAGTCAGCTCACAGCATCTGTCCCTGACAGTTGGCTAAGACAACAAAAACTGAAGCAGGAAAAGCCAAGTAGGGATAAAACATTATTTCAACTTTTCCCACTGCTGCTCACCTCAGAAGTGATGTGACCACAGTTACTGAACTAGGACAGAGCTTTTAACATACTCATCCTCTGCAGCATTTGGCAAGACTCCCATTCATAGTATGCACGTTAGTGCTTTGTGCAGCTACTGCTATCTCTAGGTGAAATGCACTCAGAGAAACAGAACAGTTAAACTCACAGCACATCTGAGTCCCACGCTGTCGAGAACCCATGTTGCCACCAGACCAAACGGGATCGAGATGAGGAGGTACACTATTGAGAGCCAGTTGACCATCCCCAGAGAAATGTGGAAGTACGCAGCTGTCTTATCAGCCACAGGAGCAAATGTCAGCCACAGCTGCAGAGAAGAGAGTAAAGATGAGTAAGCATGAACACCAGAACAGGAATTCAGAATCCCCTCAAACTGTCTAACTGCGCTGTGAAGGGGCTACCTATCTTACTCTCTTCTTGAAATTTGGATTTTAAGCTTGGTAATAAAAATTCAAACTCCCAGTGTCTGCAATTAGTCATTCTAGGGCAAAATATTTTACCACCAATTTCATCATTATCTTGTCCCAGAGCACTCCATCCACTTCACTACCTCATCCCCAAACCCAGAGTCCTGCTGCTGGGAGCTGGCAAAAGTCAGTACCTTTTTCTGCCCCAGGTTGACTATGTTGGTCCCTGGTGCACTTACTTACCTGATGTAAACCACAAGCAATCTTTCTAAACAAAACAGAGATTGCCTTTGCCTCTCTGCAAATAAGAGCCTCTTAAACTCAGCCTGGTGTTTATGGCTGCATTGGTAACTCCTGGATGTGGCCTCGTAAGAATAACTTTGCTATGTGTCAGCCAAGAGAGATGTTATTCCATGCTGTCCTAGACAAACAGTCAATGGTTAGGGAAGGGCCTAAAAATTTACACTATTTGGTATATCAGAATACATAAACAGGGAAACACAAGAGATACTTTAATAACTATCCATCTTTTGCTGTATCTGAAAATATTTTGCTAAACCTTGTTGTAGGCACTGTTTTCATAAGGTTGCTGTTTGCTTCTGGTTTCTTCTGTGAAGGACAAGGCCTGCTTTCATCCTCAAATTAGGTCCTGAGATCATGCCCACAAGAAAGAAATGAGGGTACTACCCCAAATTTAAGGATGTTTTTGTGGTTTCTTTGTGAAGATGCCCTCTCTGTTGCCTTTCAAAAAAACTAACCTAACCTAAAAACAGATTTCAATAATGCGGATGTAAGCTACCATGCTGTTAGAAGATGATCTTGCAGCTGTTGGATAGTCAAGATGCTAAGGTTTGCAGAAATGTGAACAAAAACTTCAGCTATAGCTTCAGCTATAGATTCCTACAAAAGAACTCTAGTCATTGTCTCTTTCCGGGTGCCCTCCTTCTGTCTGCATCCTGCAGACAGCACCAGCTGTGGCGTTAATATGTAACTGAAGAAGGGCTTGGGTAACCTCAGGGGAAGGCGTGTCCCTACACTCTGCTACTTGGTATTTCCAGTGTTCCTATTTACTTCTTACATGCTAGGGACCATAAAAACTACCACATTAAATGGAAGCAGAAGGAGAGACGGGCTTTTCTTCTTTCTAAATGGCACTGTGTCAGTACAGCCACATGCAAATCATTGTTTAGCTAAGCTTTTCTGCTAGCAGGGGTGCAATGGGTAAATGGCAGTAATGTTTTGAATGTATTGTCAGTGTCCTAGCAATGATTCCTAGCATCAGCTCTTTCCTCTTCTTTGAAAGGAGCTGACATACCAAACTGCCTGCATTCAACACGAAGCTCACATGGCCATGCTGGGCTCAGACACACCCATGTGGGATCAGCCAAAGGTCTGGCAGGGGGTGGATTTGGTGTTTACTCAGCTAATACAATTAGGTGCACAAAGGAAACTGTACTCTTGTTAGACAACAAGGAGGCTATTCCAGGTGACTGGAAGACTGGCATTAGACTTCTAATAAAGTGAGCTTTAAAAAAATTCCTTGATGTTACTGTCTTGTCTCAGGAACAAAGTTCACTCACCTTTGGTTTTCCAAAACTGATCTCCATCATTCTGGGATGGGAATTTAAATGAATAATGCTAATGTACTGTTTAAATGATACAAGCATTACTAAGGCATGAGCATTTGTTTGATTACCAGGTGCTAAACTGCAGCTAAACAAAATCTATCTGTGTATTTCCAGCAACAGCAAATCTCAGTTCCCCACTGCTTTCCAGACAGGAGTGCTGGTGATGAAACACTGTACCAGGAAACAGTGTAATTAAAGAGCTCATACATTTGCAAGCCAGCTTCCTCCGCACAAGATGCTCACCGACGGATGACTTCATTTAGGAGAATGATGCCACAAGCCAGAGAACAGCATTTTGTGTTCAGTGACAGTATACATCTAGGCAAACTGGGATCAAGCACTCAGGCATCTTTCCATTAGATCTAGTAAAATCATTCCTTGCTGAAAACCAAACATTTGGGCTGCCCTGTGCTTGATTGGAGCAAGTGCTCCAATCCTAGCATATGTGTGTGAGAGCATGGAAATTGCAGCCTGTCCAAGCCTGAGATTATTCTTAGAAATAGAAGTGGGTTTCTTTATGGGTCTGGAGAAAAAAAAAGTGTTTCTGCCTCCATTCAGGCAGGGGTTGTTTATCACGTGTTGCTCTAACAAAGAAATTAAGAACTGGGCAATAGAGCTCGAGGTGTAGCTGTGGTCAAAGTGGCCACCAAATCTCCCTGCAACAAATAGATGGCACTGTGGGGTTTTGCTAACACAAGGAAATTGTCATGCTAAGCAAGTGAGTTTTGGTTTTCCCAGCTATGATGACTTCATCCACAGCAGTTAGCAAGCTCTTCTGCTTGGAGGTAGAGCCCCTATCCTACATGTTGTTTCTGAAACTCTGCACTGTCAAGGCTGGTACTTAAGCAGTGGCTGCCGTGATACATATCCCTTCAGGCAGACGAGGGTAAGCATGATGCAGTTCTTTCATGGTGAGGTCTAAGCCATGTAACCTCTAAAGATGCATAACAAAGACTGAGAGATGTTCCTCTCTCCTCCAATCCCAAAGGGCCATTGTTTTATCTCAGCTTTGGCACACCAAAAACAGTGTCAAACCTGTCCACTGCAGATCATGGTGGCAGACGCAGGAGGAGAGAACTCATGGGGTTATAGGTTGCCAGCCCCTAAAAGCTGGTTGTTCCTGGGACAGATAAAGGATGGAGAAACAGACAGACACCTATGTCCCTGCAGGGTTGCCTAAACACTTGTTCAGTCCCTACCTAAGCCTCACTTTGTGGAAATACGTCCTAGTGGTCTGGCCAAACTGCACTCAGATCCATTGCCTGTACAGCCACACAGACCTAGAGTGTGAGGTGCAGAAGGCATCAAGGGGAGTCTGTGTTACGCACTGCTACATCCATGTTCACATGTGCTTCTCTGAAGGCAGTTCAATGGATGTCACAACAGCAGAATTGAGAGAGTCCAACCCTTTGTTAATGTCTCTTCCTGACTTGCAATGGTGACAAGCAATTTCTACTCACCCACCTTGGGTTATTTCCATTCTGAGTCCTGCCAGGGCTACAATCAACCAAAACCTTTTAGCAAACTTTGACAAAATTCCCAGTTTGCCACGCCACAGATCAGGAATGTCTTGTCTCTGAGGCTTCAAACACATCCAGGTCAGAGTTCTACACCTGGACTACTCAAAAACTACCTTGTGCAGTCCCCACAGCAGAGCACAGCTGGGCTGCTTAACAACCTGGAGTGGATGAATTTGGAGGTCAGGACTCCACTCTCTGGGCCATGGCATAGTTAGGTCAACTCATTTACACAGAAGCCCAAGCAGAACCACTGAAGCATAGGAACTCTTACCTTTGAACACAAAACAACCACAATGGGTTTGAGCCCAACCTCCTAACACTTGGGAAACTCACTTCCCAGCATTTTTTCAAAGATTTTGCATTATTTGTTCTCAAATGACAGTTCCTGCTGTAGTGTAATCCAGTATCATTAGCCATGATCACTCATGTTGTACACATGTATTTGATCCTTCAGCATTTGGGATGGACTTTTCCCTCCCTTGCATCTAACAGGATACTGGAGTAGCCACTGTAATAATATACACCATTTCTTCTCCAGAACTGTAGTTCCTACACTCTTCTCTCCTGATCTTAAGCCTCAGAAGCATGTTCACCTCACTGTGATTTCTGAGTTTTGAGACAGCAAAAGCTCCTGTGCATGTTAGTCTGGGCAGGAAGTGCATCTCAGCACACACTCTTGGCTATAAACTTGTGCTCTACACAGTGGGCACAGCAACTGATGAAGAGGACTTCTGGTCCCCTGAAGATCCACGAGCCCTTTCTGGCTTGTACTGGAGTACAGCTGCAACTCCCACTGCTTTCAGCCCACAGCTGGCTGACTAGTTAGCCATACACCATCACTGAAAGAAAAGGGACAAAAATGTTTTCCACCCAGCGTCTATTTATATCCTCAATTACTGGAGAGTGCCCTCCCCATGTCCTTTAACAATGGAGTATGTGGGACCACCAGCGAAAGCAACTGCACTCAAATCATCTGACTACTGCTGATGTTGCAGGGCTCCACTTTCAATTCTCTCTCCCTTTGCTTTAACCTTCTTCTAGCTGACATTTCTTTTCTCTTGTCCTGCACCTCCCAAAGGCTGCCTGCACCCTTCACCATTAATTGCAGGCCTGCCCAGGCACTCCTGTAACCAAGAACAGGTTACTGCTGTTCTTATCCTGCCCCCATTTCTAAGCTTTGTTGCTCTTTCTGATACCTTTGTAAACCATTAGCTGATTCTCAGATGTGGATCCAGCCTTCTTCCTCACAAAATCAGCCTCAACTCTCTAGTTTTCCTTCTGGTCTCATTCCCCTTCTATCTCTATCTTCTTGAAGTTCAGTTCTGCCCTATTGCTTTTACTGTTTTCACTCCCACAGAGAGTTTCCAGGACCAACTTCACCTGCAGAAGCCGGTTTGCCTCCACCCATTCCAAGGGAGCCTAACATTTGCCCTCCCTCCCACTTCTGCAAGAGGTTACTGGTGGGCTGTGAGCCACCAATTCTCTGTCTCAAGTGGTAGCATGATGATGGCGGAAGGCAGGACTGCATATAGACTCTACACTTGGATAAGCAATAGGTGTCAGCTGCAGAAGGTAGCGTAAATAACACAGCTCCAGGATTTTCACAGCTCAAAGAGCAGTAATGATATATTTATGCATCACTTGTATAACCGGCCACAGCCCTGCCAGAAGCAGTACCAAAAATGCTGTTTTACATGAGAGGCAAGATGTTAACCATTGTCTACCCTCCTCACCAATAAATCAAGACTAGAAAAGTGAAAGGCAAAATCATTTGCAGAATGGCAAGTGCATGCAATCAGGCAGGGTGGAAATTAAGCCATTTTGCCACATCAGTGGTGGTATCAGCTAGGAAACGCTTCCATATGGAGCGTTCTTCTGTCTGGCATACTGTATAGCTGTGTACAGTGTAGCAATGCCCCTGTAATACCTTTTATGTGCAGCTTAAAAAGGAGGAGCTGAGGGGGATGACTTAAATGAAATGGGACCTTCTGCTTTGTAACAGACACAGGCACAGCTCACTAATCCCCAGGCAGGCACTGCCTGCAGCAGCTCTCCCAGTTCCAGCATGCCGTCTTCCATGCACCAGGACACTGCTTTGAAGGTGATGTAGGATGTATTTCTGAGACATGCAGGCTGACTCCTGCTCCCCTGGGCTATGAAGCCCTTACACCAGACTTCTCGTCTTCAAGATCAAAAAGGCCACACAGCCTGGAAGCAAACAGCCTCTGGTCTCAACTTGAAGGCACCCATGCTAACACAGCAGCCTAGGAAATAAGGACAGAGACATGATCTTCAGGAAGGTCAGATCCCCCCCTAGACATCACTTTTAGGAGGACTAGCAGGACACAGCAGCCAGGCAGCAGCAGTTGTGTGTGCATGAGTATCTACAGGGGCACTGCTGGAGCAGACAGGCGTGGGCGAGGAGCGTGCGCGCCCTGCCCTGGAGCATGCCAGTCTCCACTTGTGCAGCTCTCCTTTCCCTCCCAAGTACACTAAGTGGTGGTGGAAGTCCTCCAGGCTGGTGAGTCAGGAACCACCCAGCCAAGTGTGAGCCAGCTCCAACCCTCTGATCCCCTCCTCCTCCCCAGCTTGCTCATGCTGACAAGCACAGAACAGGGCAGGGAACACTCTCAGTTTCATTCCTGTGTGCATTTCTCTGTCCTCAGCACTAAGGCAAGAAAAAGTTCTGCCTGTAAAAAACGAAGTTCCCACCTGTCCAGCTTCACAGGGAGGAGGCAATGAGGAAGGAGGTGTTTTCCTCAGCAGTTTACTGCTATGACAGCTGTCAGCACACCATGAATACTCTTAAACATTAAGTCTTCAGAATAAAAAGCCCACACACTCAAAACAACAGCATCAGTTTGACAAAACAAATCTGGGGAGCAACCGCAGGCATAGTTACATCACCCTTCACCAGGAGTGTTGCAAGAGACAGCTGGAGATCAATCATCTACGCTTAGATGTTGTCAGAACAGCCTCTCCGTCCAGGACTTCAAGCAGCAAGTGAATTATACTGAAGCCTACTTATGGCCTTAAAATAATTTAAGAGTTTCTTACAATACTTTGTCAGGTAGGAATTTCCAGAATAGCTATATTTAGGAAATGAGAACAAATCTCTGGCAAGGTAGTAGCCACTTCCTACAACAGACAGGCTTTTAAACTCAGGTCAGTAATAGAGATGCAAGTAAGGTGCTATTTATCATTGGTGTAAAAGCCTCCTTTATTCATCCCCCTGTGCTCTGGTTAGACAAGGGATTTCACATGATGAAGTGTAGCTGGAGGAAGTAGGCAAGGGTGTCCCTTCCATCACTGCATTGTCTGGCCTGGCTTTGCTTCATCACAATCCTAAAACAGACTAAGAAATAAGAAATATCCCTTTCTCAGCCTGCCCTTGCTACATGACCAAATGTGTTTTCCTACAGCTAAGTTGCTTTTGTTCTTGACACTGACATTCTCTCCCTCTCAGAACTGTCTTCTGTCTGCCACTTTTAGTGACACTGAAGGTCACTAACAGAAAACTGCATGTCTGCATGGGTAACACTGGGGAATACAAGGTGTCATCCTGGAAGAGACCAAGGGTCAAGCACATGAGGTGATCTGTTCTTCCCGAGTCAGACAATTCAAAAGTCATGTGTCCTCACCATATGCATTTTGCAGATAGCCTGACATAGGAATACACAGAACAAAGCACTGCATGCAACATCCATATAGGAACTGAAGACACATCTTAACTCTCACACCACAGAACTGGTAAATTAATCTTTCTGTCTCGAACTTTTAAACAGCAACCAACCACTTTGATCTCACAGCTTGTCAACTACTCCCTCCATTTTAATGTGATTTTTATCAGGAACACTTAGGAGAAACTTTAGCATCAATAAATGTTTGGTTACAATTTTATATGTCAGCATGCTTGCCATTCCAGACCTTTGCCTTGGCTTAGAAATAATATTTCCATCCTAGGATATTTATTGAGCACCCAGTTTTGAAGTGGTGAAGTTCCGTCTTAAGTCAGGAAGTTGGCAAGAGACCAAGCAGACAGAGAAGAGTACAATTTTTCAAGGCTATCAAGTTTTCAGAAACATGACTGAGGACACAGTTATACTTGCAGATGCATTAGAAGGACCTTTTTCAGTAAGCCTCCAGTTTAACTTTTCAGCAAAGTCAAAGTCTGACAAGACTGGTTTAGAGCTTAGTGACATAATTTAGTGATTCTTTACTTTTTTTTTTATCAGAGTTAGGTTGATGGTTGGACTAAATGATCTTAAAGGTCCCTTCCAACCTGCACAATTCTATGATTCCATGATTCTAAGACATCCTGGAAAGTTTTTTTACAGCTTCCTTCATCCCTGCTGTCACCATCCGCTTCCAGCTGGGTGGTTTTCTTCCTGCTAAATAATGTTCTGCTGCTGTGCCAATTTAACTGCAAGAAAATAGCCAGGCTTCACATGGCTTTTCAGCAGGACACTTTTTTACACTTGAAGGCTACACTGATTCTCCCTTGAGAAAGCACATTCATTTTTTGTTTCCCATATACAGCCAAATTCTCACTGTTTTCTTATTTCTCTGCTCCAGCACTCTTGCATCATAGAATACCTGCTCTTCCTTCCCAGCATTTAAATGTTTGCAGGTTGCAGTGCCTGATTTTGGCTGCCAGACAGCTTGCATTCGCAGCATGGTAATCCTCAAGCACATGAATAATTCTATATTAGTCTGATAATTATCAACAACATCCTCAATGACTTGGTGAGCAAAGACGTGGGCTTCCATCTTGAATACTAGGACTTGGTAAGGAGAAACTTTATGTGTTTATCTCAATATTTACTGGAAGGGGGAGAGGGGTGTGTGTGATCTAGCATCCCTTTTTTTTAGGTGTTTCAGAATAAAGTACTTGTAGGCAATAAGTTCACATACCAGAATGTTTAGTGCAAAATCACTCCTATACTGTTCCTTATGTGCAACAGACCCCAAAAGAAAACCTACTTGCTCCTCTTCCTGGCCAGATAAATCTGCTGTTATAGGCCAGCAATAAGGCAGAGTTAAGTCCTGCTCCTCCACCCAAGGAGTTTCAACATTGTTCTCCTATTCTTAGGCTTGAAACGTGACACTCACAGATGCTTAATACTTTCTATTCCTCCTACAGCCTGAGAAGTGGATTCAGCAGCAATTTCAGCTGTGCTCCGAATACATCTTCTCCTTCCCAGTCTGGCTTGAAGCTGCGGTAGTTCCTTCTGTGCTAGATCTAGGACACACACCCCCTCCCGCCCGTCCTGCCCTTCACCCGTCACCACCCCTCTGTGCTCCGGAGCCCACCGCTCAGAAAGGGAGCTGCGTAAACTCGTAACAAACAGCAAAAACAAAGTTCGGAAAAAATAGCCGCTTATTCAGTCCCTAAGGCGCGGCGAGGCTGAGGCTTCTCTGCGCTGCGCGAGTACAACCGAGCGAGTCCCGGCGCACCAACGATGAGGGGGTGGATCTGAGACAGGGCACTGGGGCAGAGCCCTGAAGATCGCACGGCTGCTTCTAGGAAGAGACAGGAGGTGGTGTGGGCCTCAGCGAGCCCCGTCACCGCCTTCTCCCTCGGCGCCACCAGCTCTCCAGAGCCGCGGCACAGGCCGGCCGGACAGAGGGGCTGTGTGCTCCGCCGGCTCCGCGCCGCCCCCCGCACTCACGGCTGCTCGGGCACCCCCGGGGGACTTCCGCCGGCTACCCCTTCACCGCCCGCACCCTTCCGCAGGCGCGTCCCCGCCGTCCTGCGCGGGTGTCGGTGGGGCCGGCGTCGCTCCCGCTCAGCACTCACCATGGCGTTGGAGCAGTTCAGCAGGCACACGGCAGCCAGCAGGAACCACCGCCGCCGGTAGGTCTTGAACCGGGCCAGCCGACCCAGGCCACGCTCCCCCAGCAGGCTCCCCCCCTCGGCACCCTCCATCGCGGTACGGCTCGGCACGGCACGGCACGGCCCCGCCTCGCCGCGCTGGCCGGCCTCCCCGGGGCGGCCCCGGCCACGCCGCCGCCCGCCGCCCGGTAGGGTACGGTACAGCGCAGCACGGCCCCCAGCCGGGGGCAGCGGTGCGGACGCACCCTGCGGAACCCGGCCGAGCCGAGAGACAGCTCCTCCCCGCGGATGCGGGGCCCGGCCCGGGGCTGGCTGCGGGGCCGGCGGTGTGCCGTGCGGCGGCTGGGCGGAAGGGAAAAGTCCGCCTTCGAAACGGGACTGTTAAGGCGCTGGGAAAGTGGACTGCTACGCAGCCCGGGGCAGGAAACTCCTGTCTTTGCCCATGTCTCGGTAAAACAACAATGGCAAGAACGTCACTGATGCCCGCTAATAGCTCCGCGTTATGGTGAGAGTCAGCGTTAACTCTTGGCTGGGGGCAGCACCAGAGCGGCAGCTGCAGTGGCCGGGGGGGTCGGTGTATCACGGCATCACGGAATTGTCAGAGTTGGAAGGGTCCCCTAGAGATCATCTGGTCCAACTCCCCTGCTAAAGCAGAAATGCCCAGAGCACATTACTCAGGACTGCATCCAGGAGGATCTTGAAAATCTCCAGAAAAGGGGACTCCACCACCTCCCTGGGCAGCCTGTTCCAGGGCTCTGTCATCCTCACCCTAAAGAAGTTCTTCCTTATATTTGAATGGAACTTCTTATGTTCCAGCTTGTGCCCGTTGCTCCTTGTCCTATCACAAGCCTTGTGACAGCAGCCTTGTCCCAGAGTGATTGCTTACTGGAGTAGAAAAAAGACTAGAGGAGAATAAAAAACAGGATGCTACGACCCACAGGGGTCTATCAGTCACAGGACGTACACGTTGGTTATGATTTTATATAACTGATTGTGCTGCAGGCAGCCGCATCTTCCCCCAGGGCAAAGACACCCACACTAGCTGTTACGTCCTCAAAAACTCACCAATGAAAAAAGCCAAGAGTGCAAAGCAAAAGCCTCCTCCACTCCTAAACAAGACCCATGGCTTTAAGTTGGTTGGTGTCGTGGTTTGGCCTCAGACAGCAACAAAGGACCACATGCAGCCGCTCGCGCAGAACAGAGTCCACACCGCCACCGAGGCCGTGAGGGGAAAATCGGAAGCTGCTGAGGTCAGTTCTGGTCCCTGCTGTCCCTGCTTCACTACTCGGTTTTTCATCAGTCCATTTGTCATTAGTTCGGGTGCTTTTTACTATAGTACAACCAATAGCAGTCACCAAAATGAGATGTACAGTGGCATGATCATTTAGCAATTAACATCATACAGTTTCATTCATTGGCTATTCTAGCCCAAAATCAGGTTCCTGTGTGGTACTCACTGAACTTCCCCATCCTTCCGCATCACCCAGCAAGTGCACCCGGGTCCTTGAGCAAAGGCAATCCCACGGACAGGTTTGCCTTTGCCTGAGGCAGGACTGACCCAGACTGTCTTCCCTAACATATTCTTCATGTGCACTACGGGGACTCTGTCTCCCTCCACAGTACGTGGGGGTTTAGACTGGGCAGGGCCAGCTCGGTTGCTAGATCCCCTGGTGTTAACTAGCCAGGTAGCCTTTGCTAAATGTGTATCCCAATTTTTTAAAGTCCCACCACCCATTGCTCTCAGTGCAGTTTTTAACAGTCCATTGTACCGTTCTATCTTCCCAGAGGCTGGTGCATGATAGGGAATGTGGTAAACCCACTCAATACCATGCTCTTTGGCCCAGGTGTCAATGAGACTGTTTCGGAAATGAGTCCCGTTGTCCGACTCAATTCTCTCTGGGGTGCCATGTCGCCACAGAACTTGCTTTTCGAGGCCCAGGATGGTGTTCCGGGCAGTGGCATGGGGCACAGGGTATGTTTCCAGCCATCCAGTGGTTGCTTCCACCATTGTGAGCACATAGCGCTTGCCTTGACGGGTCTGTGGAAGCGTAATATAATCAATCTGCCAGGCCTCCCCATATTTGTATTTCAGCCATCGTCCTCCATACCAAAGGGGCTTTAATCGCTTGGCTTGCTTGATTGCAGCGCATGTCTCACATTCATGGATGACCTGTGCAATAGTGTCCATGGTCAAATCCACCCCTCGGTCCCGAGCCCATCTATATGTAGCATCTCTCCCTTGATGGCCTGAAGAGTCATGGGCCCATCGAGCTAAGAATAATTCGCCCTTATGTTGCCAGTCCAGATCCACCTGAGCCACTTCAATCTTGGCAGCCCGATCCACTTGCTGGTTATTCTGATGTTCCTCAGTGGCCCGGCTCTTGGGTACATGGGCATCTACATGACGTACTTTCACAACCAGATTCTCTACCCGGGCAGCGATATCTTGCCACAATTCCGCAGCCCAGACAGGTTTGCCTCTGCGCTGCCAATTCTGCTGCTTCCACTGCTGTAACCCCCCCCACAAGGCATTTGTCACCATCCATGAATTGGTGTAGAGATTAAGTACTGGCCATTTTCCCTGCTCAACAATGTCCAAAGCCAGCTGAATTTCTTTCATCTCTGCAAACTGGCTTGATTCAGCTTGTCCTTCACTGGCTTCTGCAACTTGTCTTGTAGTACTCCACACGGCAGCCTTCCACTTTCTATGCTTTCCCACAATCCAGCAGGATCCATTGGTGAACAGGGCATATCTCTTCTCATTTTCTGGTAGTTCATTATATGGTGGAGCCTCTTCGGCACGCATCACCTCCTCCTCCGGTGACATTCCAAAATCCTTGCCTTCTGGCCAGTCCATAATCACCTCTAGAATTCCTGGGCGACTGGGGTTTCCCATTCGAGTTCGCTGAGTGATCAGTGCAATCCACTTACTCCATGTAGCATCCGTTGCATGATGTGTGGTAGGGACCCTTTCTTTGAACATCCAAGCCAGCACTGGCAGCCGAGGTGCTAAGAGGAGCTGTGCTTCTGTACCAACCACTTCTGAAGCAGCTCGAACCCTTTCATATGTTGCCAGTATCTCCTTTTCTGTTGGAGTATAGCGGGCTTTGGATCCTCTGTGTCCCCAACTCCAAAACCCTAGGGGTCGACCGCGTGTCTCCCCTGGGGCTTTCTGCCAGAGGCTCCAGGTAGGGCCGTTCTCCCCAGCTGCGGTGTAGAGCACGTTTTTGACATCTTGTCCTGCCCGGACTGGCCCCAGGGCTACTGCATGGACTATTTCCTGTTTAATTTGTTCAAAAGCTTGTCGTTGCTCAGGACCCCGTTTAAAATCATTCTTCTTCCGGGTAACTTGATACAGAGGGCTCACAATCAGACTGTAATCTGGGATATGCATCCTCCAAAAACCCACAATGCCTAGGAAAGCTTGTGCTTCCTTTTTACTAGTTGGTGGAGACATAGCTGCTATTTTATTGATAACATCCGTTAGGATCTGACGGCGCCCATCTTGCCATTTTACTCCTAAAAACTGGATCTCCTGCGCAGGTCCCTTGACCTTACTCCGTCTTATGGTGAAACCAATACTAGTTGGTGGAGACATAGCTGCTATTTTATTGATAACATCCGTTAGGATCTGACGGCGCCCATCTTGCCATTTTACTCCTAAAAACTGGATCTCCTGCGCAGGTCCCTTGACCTTACTCCGTCTTATGGTGAAACCAACTTTCAGAAGGATTTGAATTATTTTATGCCCCATCTCAAAAACTTCTTCTGCTATGTTGCCCCATATGACAATATCATCAATGTACTGCAGATGTTCCAGAGCTTCACCCTGTTCCAGTGCAGTCTGGATCAGTCCATGGCAAATGGTGGGGCTCTGTTTCCACCCCTGGGGCGGTCGATTCCAGGTGTATTGGACACCTCTCCAAGTGAAAGCAAACTGTGATCTGCACTCTGCTGCCAGAGGGATTGAGAAGAATGCATTGGCGGTATCAATTGTGGCGTACCACTTGGCTGCCTTGGACTCCAGTTCGTATTGAAGTTCTAACATGTCCAGCACGGCAGCACTCAGCAGTGGCGTGACTTCGTTGAGGCCATGATAGTCCACAGTTAGCCTCCACTCTCCATTAGATTTCTGCACCAGCCATATGGGACTGTTAAAGGGTGAGTGAGTCTTGCTGATCACTCCTTGAATCTCTAGTTGACGAATCAGCTGATGGATGGGGATCAGAGAGTCTCGGTTAGTTCGATATTGCTGCCGATGAACCGTTGTGGTAGCAATCGGCATCTGTTGTTCTTAACCTTCAACAACCCCACAACAGAAAGGTCCTCTGAGAGACCAGGCAAGGTAGACAGCTGTTTAACTTCTTCCGCCTCCAAGGCAGCTATGCCAAAAGCCCACCTGTACCCTTTTGGGTCCTTAAAATATCCTCTCCTGAGATAATCTATACCAAGGATGCATGGAGCATCTGGGCCAGTCACAATGGAGTGCTTTTGCCACTCATTCCCAGTTAGGCTCACTTCAGCTTCCAGTACAGTCAACTCTTGGGATCCCCAGTCATTCCAGAAATACAAATGGGTTCTGTCCCTCTATGGCTTGATGGTATTATCGTACACTGTGCACCCGTGTCCACTAAAGCTCTATACTCCTGTGGCTCTGATGTGCCAGGCCATCGAATCCACACTGTCCAATAAATCCGGTTGTCCCTTTCCCCCACCTGGCCGGAGGCAGGGCCCCTCTAACACTGGTCATAGTATCCGTTACTCGCTTCTTGCAGAAATGATTTGGAGGTTCCTTCAAGGGGATCAGAAGTAGGCTCAGGCCTTCTATACTGTCTGGGGAACTGCACATTGGAAACTAGGGCAGCACTTTTCCTGGAGGGATCACCTTTTGTGATTGTTCTTCCTTGCAGTTCCTGTACCCGTGCCTGTAGGACTGAAGTAGGTTGTCCATCCCACTTCCTCATGTCCTCTCTGTGATCACGCAGGCAGAACCACAGGGTGTTTCATGGTGTGTACCCCCTGTATTCTCTATCTTGAGTGGAGAAATGTCTGCTTTTAACAGCTGAGATACTGGCTTGTACAGGTGGGGAGGACATATTCTCTTGAAGTTGCTAGACCTTTCGGGACACTTTATCCACAGCTGAGACAAGGGGAGAAGAGAGACTTTCTTCATATTGCCAAAGTCGGGCAGCCACCTCATCCACGGTTGGTCCCTCTTCGCCTCTCCATTCCATCACTGCCAATGAGTTGGCATATGATGATGGGGCGCTCCGTACAAACTTCCGCCACATGGGCCTTGTGCACTGCACCTCATCAGGATCTGTGGGTGACTGTGCATTGTCCAGGTCACAATAAATCATCTCCCACATGGCTAA